AAAAAGTAAAAGTGATAAGGAGCATCCTTGTCTTGTGCCTTGTTCAATTTGGATCTCCTCTGAAATTTGACCATTGACCTTGACTCTTGCTTTTTGTTGCAAATAGATTGACTCTGCTGCCTGAAAGAAGCTTTCTTGAAGGCCCATTGTCTTTAATTGGTTCAACATAAAGTCAACATGAAGTCCCAGTTCACATTAAAGGCTTTCTCTGCATCCAGAAAAATTAACATCATTTGCTTTTCTGGATGGGCTTCATAGTATTCCAATACTTCTATTACTGTTCTTATATTTGCAGCCAATTTCCATTCAGGTAGAAAACCAGTCTGGTCCTTAGGTATCATCAATTCAGGAGCTTTTTCAGCCTATTTTTCAGCCCAGTGGTTCTTAACCTTTGTTACTCGGATGTTTTTGAACTGCAACTCCCAGAAACCCCAGCCAGTACAGTTGGTGGTGAAGGCTTCTGGGAGTTGCAGTCCAAAACTCCTGAGTAACCCAAGGTTAAGAACCAGTGGTTCAGCCTATTTTTCAGCCTTGGACTTTGTTAATCTCTATGCTGTTTGATATTGTTTGTTTTAATTCTTATTTTTATTTGGACTGTAAGCTGCCCAGAATAGATTTGCTGAATCTAGATGGGTGGGGTAAAAGCTGAAAAATAAATAAATAAATAGCTAAAATCGAGGCAAAGAGCTTATAATCCACATTTAGCAGGGAAATTGGTCTGTTCCTGTTTTGTGTATTAGAGATACAGTATATCACAGACCTGAGTACACCCCCTCACATTTCGTAATATTTTAGTATATTTTTTCATGTGACAAATTGACAAAATGACACTCGGCTACAATGTGAAGCAGTGAGTATACAGCTTGTATAACAGTGTAAATGTACTGCCTACTCAAAATAACGCAACACACAGCCATTAATGTCTAAACCGCTGGCACCAAAAGTGAGTACACCCCTAAGTGACAATGTCCAAATTGGGCCAAAGTAGCCATTTTCCCTGCCTGATGTCATGAGACCCGTTAGTGTCACAAGTCTCAGGTGTGAAGGTGGAGCAGGTGTTATCACCCTCACTCTCTCAGACTGGTCACTGGAAGTTACATGGCACCTCATGGGAATGAACTGTCTTGAGGATCTGAAAAAAGGGAATTGTTGCTCCACATAACGATGGCCTAGGCCAGTGATGGCGAACCTATGGCATGTGTGCCACAGGTGGCACGCAAAGCCCTTCCTTCTGGCACGCAACGAGTTAGTGGCCCTCTCACTCGACCTTGTAGATAGAAACCTTTTGAAGTGGCTGCAGCCAGGATTCCCCCTCTCTCTTCCTGTTCTGCGTCCATTGCCATGATTCCTACCCCCTTTCTCTTCCTGTTCTGTGTCCGTCACCATGATTCCTCCCCCTTCCTGTTCTGCGTCCGTCACCATGATTCCCCCTGCAACTGCCACTTCCGGTTCTGGTCTTCCAGATGGCACGACAGCCACCGGTTTCTCTCCCCCACCACTCATTTTAGGCACGCAAGCCCAAAAAGGTTTGCCGTCACTGGCCTAGGCTATAAAAAGATTGTCAACTCACCTCCCTCTGTTACCATCTCCACACAAGAATTGGAGGTTTTTCATGACTTTCTGTTCCTTGGCTCAACAATTTCTGACACCCTCTCCCTAGATATCGAGCTGGATAAATGCATTGGCAAAGCAGCTACCATGTTCTCTAGACTCACAAAGAGAGTATGGCTTAATAAGCAGCTGATGGTATATACCAAGATCCAGGTCTACAGAGCTGTGTCCTGAGCACACTCCTGTACTGCAGTGAGTCCTGGACCCTTTGTACACGGCAGGAGAGGAAGCAGAACACATTCTATATGTGCTGTCTCCAACACATTTTTGGTATCACCTGGCAGGACAAAGTTCCAAATAGAGTAGTCCTAGAACAAGCTGGAATTTTTAGCATGTATACATTACTGAAACAGCAACATCTACATTGGCTCCGGCATGTTGTGAGAATGGCTGATGGTTGGATTCAAAAGATCTTCTGTATGGAGAATTAGTGCAGGGAAATCGCCCCAGAGGGAGACCGCAGCTGCGATACAAGGATATCTGCAAGTGGAATCTGAAGGCCTTAGGAATGGACCTCAACAGATGGGAAACCTTGACATCTGAGCATTCAGCCTGGAGGCAGGCAGTGCTTCATGGCCTCTCCCATTTTGAAGAGACCCTTGTCCAGCAGGCTGAGGCAAAGATGCAGTCCTGAAAGCAGCAAAATCAGGGAGCTGGACAGGGACAGATTGTATTTGTCTTCATTTTGGAAGGGATTGTCACTCTCGTATTGGCCTTCTCAGCCACACAAGATGCTGTTTGAAGTCCTCTATTCAGAGCATGTTACCATAATCTCTTGAGACTGAAGGGTCCCTAATCAATCATCTCCTCCACTTATTGCTCCACTTCCATGATACATTGTTCCACTGCTCCTACTTGCTTGTGTGAAGTGATCTATTTTTGAGTGTTTCGTTTAATTCCGCTTTAAGTTCTGAAGTTTGGCCTTTCATTTGTTCTATAAATTGCTTTATGATATTTGTTTGCATCTCCTGCATGTTGTTCTTCAAAGGATCTTGAGTTATTTATTTAGATAGATTTGTAGATTGTCTGGGAGGGTCTTCTTTCCTGCCCTTAGCTGCCACTTCTATATCCTGAATATGGATTGATTTTAAAGTGGAAATGTCTGTTGGGAAGTAGACCTCTGTTTGCCCTTTCCTCTTGAGCTTGCCCATAAAGTTCCTAACTCAAGAGGGACTTAACTTGTACCTAAACCATAAATATACCAAATGCATAACACTGTCCAATTTCACAATGGTTCAGGCTTTAAAGGTTCAGATACACTGATGCAGCTTCTTATAGTTCCAGCAGGTCCACCTGTGCTTCCACCTCCCCTCACTCCACACTATCCAATCCATCTTTCTTTAATCCAAATTCCATCCAAGCACAGTAAAACAATAAACAAACCAATTTTTGTGCTAAGCACAGGCGCAGCTCCCAGTTAGCACACAGGATTTATATATCCACTTCCTGCTTAATTGTACTCATCTGTTCAAACCACACACTTTTATTTTGTAATCCAGCATCCACCAGCCACACCAAGTCAGCCTGGGAATCCTCACTCTTCAGGAGTAGTTAAAAGGGCCATTAAGTAGCAACTAGTTTACCCCTTAATTAGCTGCTCTTTTTATCTCTTTATTTGGCAGCCAGCCCCCTCTTTCTTTACAGGCTCCTCCACAGCTAGTTTTTTATTTGTTCTTTTCTTGGGTTAGCAGCTCCACCAGTTGTTGACAAGAAAACCTTTTATCTCCATTTCAGCTCAGTTTAAGCTAAACTTGCATTGTAAGAAGTAAACATCAGGTACTCACAGTCATAGAGTGAAGAAAAGACAGTTTCTCCAAACTTTCCACTGTGACAGAGTTACGCAGCTAGATAACCAGACATGGCATCTTGTGGGTCAGACGCTTTTTGGGAAAGGATACTCTAACGAAGACAGACTGCATTCTGAATTCAGAGTTCTCCTGCTCTCCTTAGCTGCAAGACCTACTCTCTTGTAGGTTCCTGCCCCCCTTCCACTGTTGGGGGGGTCTGCTCATCAAGAGTTTGTAGAGGGTTCCCAGAGCCCTGGAATTTCTCTTTGCTGTCACTGCTGTCATTCCACCCCTCTGAAACCAGTAGCCACTGCCAAATGTGTTCTCAAAGGCTTTCATAAGTGGGATCCGATGGTTGTTGTGAATTTTTCAGGCTGTTTGGCCATTTTCTGGAGGTTTTTCTTCCTAACATTTCACCAGTCTCTGTGGCTGGCATCTTCAGAGGACAGAAGCTAGAATTCTGTCTGTGTTCTGGTGTAGTGTGTGGGATTGTTGAGTATTTGTAGCTGTGAGATAAGGGTTGTTGTTATTATTGTTCTTTTCAGGAGATTGGGGGTTTCCTGTGATCAGAGTATTTTTTGTTATGGGGGTTTTGTTGTGATAAGGGAGAGATGATGTGTCACTGTGATTGATGGGTGTCATTGGCTGGGCTTTTGTATGCAGTGATCACTGGTCCTTGTAGCTGGGTAGAGTTCGTTGACCTTTTGCAGGCTGTATTTTTTAGCGCTGGAAGCCAGGCTTTGTTGAGTGGTTTCTCTGCATAGCAGTCATTATGTTAAGTTAGACTACACAGGAAAGCCATTTAAATCCACAAACACCAGCACAGCTTCAACAAAAAAAGAAGGAAGTCTAAAAATCAACGAAGCCTAGCTCACAGCACTGAAAAGTACAATGAACTGTACCCTGCAAAAGGTCAATGAACTGTACCCAGCCACAAGGACGGGTGATCACTGCATGCAAAAGGCCAGCCAATGACACCCATCAATCACAGTGACACATCACAACAAAACATTTGTGTAACTGAATGAAGAACCTACTTAAAGAATATTTTTATATATCAACACATATATCAAATACAAAAATGTATATCAAATTAGGTATAGATGTTTTCCCAATTATGATTCTCAGAGTCTTTGGTTCTAAATACAAGAAACCTTTTTGTTAAAAAAATACTGAGATTTCTCTAGATTCTCCTCTCTCAGATGCCACCACTAAGAGCCATTCAAGCAGACTATAACAGATGGAGATGATACAAGAAGCAAGACAGGCGGCCCTGATGAGAGACTATTTACTTTTATCTGCTTTCCTTTTCATTTCCTTCTCATTATATTGTTTTTAATGATTGTTTGTAAGCTGCTCTGAGAGCCTTTTTAGGTGAGGAATAAGATTAAAATGCTTTAATTAAATCCACAGACAAATGTGTTGTAGTATCTGTAGGTCAAATAACAGTGCTGTGATTTGTTTTACTTCCCACACACCATGATCTCAATCAGAAAAGTATCCCCTATTATTTCTCTAGACTCTTTCGTACTGGTCTTTAATTTTATGCTGATCTGATGTTATGCTGTACAAAAGACTAAAGGGACATTTACTCTTCTATAGGGAAGGAATATGGCAAAGCAGATGCAAGATGGCTACATTCTGATCCCACTATTGTCTCACTGGAAATACTAACTGTTTTCTTGGATGGTCTTTTAGCACTAATTCTCATCTATGCAATTCTCAAGCAGAAGCATTACCGGTAAGTATTTTGTTAAAGGAGAAATTAATTTTGTCACATAGCACATCTTTGACATGTTGAGCTACACATTATATACCGTATTTTTCCATGTATAAGACTATACTTTTGTCTAAAATCTTTAGAATGAAAATTGAGGGTCGTCTTATACATGGAAGTAACCTGAGGAGAGAACAAGAACTAGTGGAAGGGAAAGCAAAGATCAAAGTGATCCTGCAGGGCTTTGATCCCTTTCCCCCTACACTTGCTAAGTCCCACTTAGATTTCTTACTTTTGGGTTAGAAAAGTGGGGGCGTCTTATACATGGGGGCATCTTATACATGGGAAAAATATGGTATGTGGATACAAATGACATCTAAAGATGTGATTAATTTCAATGCACAGGTAATGAAAGCAATGTGAAACACGAAATAGGTTTTAATTGTGAAGAAAGAAACATGGTTGGTTCTTCTGACATGAAATAAAAATAATTATGCAAACTTCTCCACAGGGCACATTCTGCAATATGTTTCACATTTCTACAGAAATATGTTTGTTCCTGAGAGTGTGTTGTCATGTTATTGTCATCACCCAAGAAACCCCTTGGAAGGCAAGGCTTACTGAGTTTACAGTGGGCCTATTTTAGTTGCAATTTACAAACTTAGCAACAGGTTCTTCTTCGTGGTCTCTGTGAATGCAGACTAATGGGTTGTCTGTGCCTGTGCAGAGGCCTCAGAATATTCTAGAGCTAAAGGTTCGCAAGGACTGCCCCCCCCCATAGCCCACGTGGTCCGTCTGTCAGAAGGCAAGACTTACTGAGTTTACAGTGGGCCTATTTTAGTTGCAATTTACAAACTTAGCAACAGGATTTGAATGATTGGTCCAATAACCCTACTCCAGTTGTGATTTACTGTTGGGTTTCAGGTAGGGAAAATTAAAATTCTCAGAATTTCAATATTAATCTCAATAAGGGGGGAGAGAAGTGTTGAGTATAATGGAAAAAAAGAATACAAAAAGAAAAATACAAAAAAGAAGCCCCTGTGTTCCCATTTCAGTTCATTGGCTTTCGTGAGGAAGGGGAAGTAGTACCGAAACTTTTGATAAGTTCATTGTAAACCTAGGCAGAAAAAGGTTTGTGGTTGTCTCTCCCTTTTTATTTTGTTCTTTTATATTTAATCCTCTTTGTCATTCCAAATCTTGCCTTTTATTTCTCTTTGTTCACTTCCTGGTATCTTTTCTGTGTTGGTCAGGTGTCCACAGGAGGGCCTGTTGCCAAAACATTTTGTTGCCTGGGAAGTCATAAATGTTGCTTTACACAGTAATATATTTCTCAAAGCAGTACAGTTATAGTTACATCCCATCTTTTCTCTCAATATGTGTGTGCTCTGTAATCAAGTTATGATTTTTAAAAAATTTAAGTTTACATTAAGCTTCCAAATAAAATTTACAAATCTGATACACACAGGCTTCTAGGACATCATAAAATACTGTTGTTAATGCTGAAATGGTAAAACTAGCTACCAAGGGTGTTTTGGGATTATCAAGTCAAATTGGTCAAGCAGAATGTTGCATATGGTTCTAATTGTTGCTGTTGTTATTTTGCAGGCACTTCATACAGATTACATTGTGTATTTGTGAATTATATGGAGGATGGATGACTTTTTGTCCGGAATGGCTCACTGGAAACTCCAGTCTAAACACTAGCAACTGGCTTTATCTCTGGGTCTATTTGATATTTTTTAATGGTGTATGGGTAATTATCCCGGCATCTCTATTAATACAGTCTTGGTTAACACTCAAGACGATGCACCAGAAGCTGTTAAATAGCAACAAATCTAAATAATCAGGGCATTGAAACTAATCACCTGGATGTAGGGATTCACACTGGCCTCTTTCTATTGACGCAAGCATGGACGAGTGAGATATAAAGTGCCCTAGGGTCCTTTACCTTCCTTAATCTCTTCAGACAGTGGCATACTAGTATGTAACACTAGGATATGTGGTAACAATGTATTTGAGAGCCAGTGTGATGCAGGAGGGAGAATGACAGAAGAGATGGGTTCAGATTTCCACTTGGCCATTGAAACTCACAGGGGTGAGGGGCAGTGGTAGAAAAGCAACTCCTCAAGTATACAGTGGTGCCTCGTATAACGAGTGCCCCGTTTAACGACAAATTCGCATAGCGATGGCATTTTTGCCATCGCTTTTGCGATCGCATACCGATGTTGCCTATGGGGAAAAATCGCTTTGCGATGTTTTCCCCATAGGCACCATTTTCCCCCAGCTGAGCGGCGGGAGCCTCCGAAAGAGTGCTCCCACAGCTCAGCTGGAGGAAAATGCCTGTGGTGGCCTTGGAAGGACCCTTCTGAAGGGTCCTTCTGAGGTCACCGCTGGGATTCCCCTTCCCCGCGGCCGGCTTCCCCGGCCATGGTCAGACTCTCAGGAGTCCGACCATGCCTGGGGTAGCTGGCTGCGGGTCA